TTTGATACCTCTTAATAATTAAGCCTTTTCACACAAAAACCGCGCGTATGAATACATCGATGGTCCCAATACCGATCCATAAAATGGCTGCCGAAAACCCATCAGAAACTATACGTTTGTATCGGAACATTATCGGATGTTTAGGCGACGACTTTGACGTCCCTGACCTAAATCCTGACAGGTTTGATATGATAACGAAACTGTCCCTTGACAGATAACTAGTTCTTTATTTTTTTACATTTACCGTTAATGTCTGAGCATGTTGGGAGATACATATTCAGCTATATACGTTATTGTTAGGACCGCGTTAACTAAACGCAATTGTTCCAATATTGTTTCGAACAACATTGGCTCATAATTAGGTACACGACAGATGAACGAAACTGCTTTCTCAGAGTACACGTATAGATATAAGGCTTCTTGGGTTTCACTGATCAATGTGCATGTCTGGTTCCTTGAAGCGAGCAGGGAGGTCATGAGTTCACGAAGGTCAGCTCTGTTTGAACACACTTGTTCGTACTACCATCAACCACGGTACGCATAGGCTCATACCCTTACAGTGCATGGCAGTGCATGATTTACTTAAACTAGATTTAATTTACTTTTCCACAAATGACAGTAACTGGACGTACACACAACCGCTTAAGATGTGATTTATTTAAACTAGATTTAATTTACTTTTCAACAAATGACACTAAATGGACGTACGCACACTGCGTTATATTAACACTCACAAATGTCCTTTTATTGTCAGTGACGCATCGTTAACAACTGTAAATAGTAGGTTCTGACTAGATCACATGAATAGACAAAACCATCTCAATAATCATGATAAACTTATGTTAAAAGTTTATTATGTTATGTCCATTGTGTGATCCCGACCATATCATGAGCATGTGTTTATGAATCACCTTCAAATAGTGACGATACCAGGTGCACAAAGATGAGAGTATCCTGTCCCACCGGTGGCACGCAACACAAACACATGCAAAGGCAAGTCAAATGTTCATGTTGTTCAAGTCAAAATTGGGACTTTCATCCTATGTATGTCTACCATAATACTTTATGAAAGCTGTACCAATGTCTTGAGTAAAACAATTCAACCAACCCTGATCAAACCACTTTGAACAAGAGTAGTAGGATACTAATTAAAATCTTCGTACATGTGGAAAAAACAAGTCAGAAAGTTCATTTCACCCCACTTGTCACACAGTCTTGTGGATAGTTTATGTCACTCTGAGTCTTTATGCAAAGATCTCAATATGAAACAGATGAGGCGGTTTCACTAGTCTCATATTTCTAGCTGAGGTGTGTAGAAATCAGTGGAAGGGAATTACAGTGAGACCTCACTGAACGACAAAACACGTTTCAAATGGGCTTGCCCAATACATTCAGATCTCTGTATTTTATTTCACTTGATATAAACCGTAATCAATTGGACATTGAAAGACGGTTGCTTCATTGACTTACACACCAAGTTAACTCTTGGACCAAAGAAAAATACACCCGTGTTTGATGGTGGCTAAACATGAAACAAACAAGAAATGATTTCTCGACGGTTATGTATCAGATACGGGTATCATGGTTGTGTTTTGGAACCTAAGTTTGCAGTGTTTCGGCCACTGTTTTCAGCCTAGTAACGCTACGATAACGTTTGCAATTGCTTGCTCAAATCCAAATTCCAAGTGTATACTTTCTTTTGCGCACAGTTTATATCAGTGAGCTAGAGCGTGAGCAATCCAACGCCATCAGGCCAGGGATACAAAGCATGGTTTTCATGTGTTGGCTCAAACATATTGGAAGCGCAGCATTGCTTCTCTGATATAAACAGTTCTATTACATACACTGCGTTGGTAAATTGTATAGTATAACTATTAATACTTTTAGAAACTGACGAACGTATTTTCATTGTTAAATATGAGGAAGATAGTACATGGAAAACTGTGAAACTTGAAATTGAAGTGTTTACAATTGTAGAACACGTTTGATAAACGTGGCTGAAATGGGTTACCGTTTGTTTGTTAGTTTGTTTTTCAACGCCGTACTCAGCAATATTCCAGCTATATGACGGCGGTCTGTAAATAATCGAGTCTGGACCAGACAATCCAGTGATTGATATTATGAGCATCGATCTAGGCAATTGGAATACGATGACATGACATGCAAGTCAGCGAGCCTGACCACCCGATCATGTTAGTCGTCTCTTACGACAAGCATAGTCGCCTATTACGGCAAGCATGGGTTACTGAAGACCTATTCTACCCCGGATCTTCACGGGTCGAAACAGGTTACAGCGACATAGGATATGTGATCCAATTGAGCCATGCTCGGGGGTGAGAGTTTGCTGTGAGGGGTTGTCGGGATCTGCTGTGAGGGGTTGTCGGGATTTGTTGGGGGATGGTCGGAGTGTGTGCTGTTTGGGTGGTAGGAATGTCGTGTGAGGGTGGTCGGAGTTTGTTGTGGGGATGATCTGGGGGTGTGCTGTTTTGGGTAGTAAGAGTATTTTTTGTGGGATGGGTGGAGATTGCTTTTGGGATATCACAGTGAGCTTGCTGGGGGGGTGGGGGGGGGGGGGGGTGGGGTGGGGGGGGGGGGGGGTGTGTGTGTGTGTGGGGGGGGTGGTTGGAGTTGGCGTGTGTTTACATTCGAAGATGAATTATAAGAAAAACTGTTTCTCCCACAATACAACGAGAATGTTCGGAAGGTTGAGGTAGTGGTTCGTCATAAATACATCGGCAGTTCATCCTAGATCTGGTCCCATTACCAAATGCACATAAATTTATTACCCTCTCCGATCTAGCAAGGCCTGTGTTCCTTCCAAACATGATTACGCATATGATCAAAATCCCTTTCTTATAAACCTCCACAGCATGTTATTTTCTCTAAAACTGTCAGTCGTATCGTGACTTTCCATTCGTTTTATCTGAGAAAATTGTTAATCACAAAATATACTTAAAACTACAGATGGCGGACTGTACACAGAGGGGAGCTTACCCGAGTAAGTAGATGAAAATGATGACTTCACTAGTGTCATTACTGTTTGTTTGCTGTTTAACGCCGCACTCAGCAATATTCCAGCTAAATGACGGCGGTCCGTAATAATCAAGTCTGGACCAGGCAATCTAATGATTGATATCATGAGCTTCGGTCTAGGCATTTAGTATACGATGATCAATCAAGTCAGCGAGCCTCACCACCTGACCCGGTTAGTCGACTTTTACGACAAGCATGGGTAACTAAAAACTAATTCTAACCCCGATCTTCACAGGAAGGTGTCATAATTGATTTGATCAATTGATATAATTGTCAACGCTATTTCGTCTTTCATACCCAGAGGCCCCTGTTTCGTAGACTGTCTTCGTAGACTGGCTATTCCCTTGCGTTGCTGTCATATATTTCCGATACAAAGTTTTGGTGTTGAATGGGTCGTGGTATTATCCTAATGGAATGGTGATATAATACTCTGGCAATCGAGGAGCGTATGTGCAGATGTTCGCATTGGTAAATGACTGTTGTATAGTGAAAATAGGACTCTGCTAGGGACGCGGAGGTATAACAAGGCCTTATTGAAGAAACAGTTTCAAATATAATTTTTTATGTCTATCAAACCCACCAATAACGTACACGGTAAGGTATACGCCCAAGGCTTCAGTTGACACATGCATGGAATCAATGCAAATAAAACTGTTGTGTTTCGAAACATTTTGGCTTCACGTAAACTTAACATTTTCAATGAGAAATCAGAATACATTGTCCTTTGTTGTTATTCGATAAAAACAAATGTCAGGAATCTTATTTCATTCTTTCACGATTGTCGTTATACCGTATTTGTTGTAACCGTTTTGAAATAATATTGGTGTGAAATGCATATATTTTCATGTATTTGTTTGTCAATGATAATCTAAATTCAAGGCAGTATACATTAAGTTTGTCGATAGCCAATCAGTTTCATGAAACGACAAGTGATGGAAAGCTAGACTGCTAATGATGGCAAATTCATTAAATATTCATAAACATCCGCACGAGCTAGTGTCTATGAAATGAATGGGCACAGAATGAATACCTGTGAGCTTTTGAAATCATTTCTGCAGAATCACGAATTTATGGAACACTTCACAAAGTAATCGACCTGGAAAGAGCTGCTTACTGGAAGTATCTACGTATGCTAATATTAGCTTGCAGCGCAAATATTAAGACACAGGCAAATTGATAAATGAACCATTAACAGTATCTTACTTTCCATCACAATAGCATTTTGTTGCATGATATGAATTGATGACTGAGGTTTATATATAGGTTGAATTCCCAAATCCAGTGTTTTCGATCTTAAACACTACGATTAATATTCCTTATATTAGTATACTAAATGCGTAATAAAATACATAGATAGTTGATAAACATAGACATAAACGGTCTGAACATTCAAATCAAAGATGGAAACTGTTTAAAGAACCAAGAAAAGTGATTTTCTTCGAAAATAAATATATTCTCGAATAACACTTTCAGCTTCATAATCCACCAAGAACTCTTCGATCAGCAAATCAACACCTGCTACCTGTTCCTCAGCATAGACTTTCCAGCTATGGACTTAAGACTTTCAGTGTGTCTGCTCCAAAGTTATGGAATGATCTTCCACTTGAGATTAGACTTTCCTCAACATTTCAGACATTCAAAGCAACTAAAGACACGTTTGTTAAAAAAACCCTTTCCAGAGTGACATTTGAATGAAGCGCTTTGAGGATGATTGCTACATGGAGACTAGCGCATTATATGTGCACATCATTATTATTATTATTATTATTATTATTATTATTATTATTAGACCCCAGTTCAATCACTTCATACATGCTTTGTACTCGTTCCAGGGTGACTCGAATTGTATGAAGTAACACTCGATTAGGGCTCTATGTAGGCCCTTATCAAGGATCTACTCCAAACAATCCGTCCCCTGGAGTCTGTTCTACGGGAAGTGAAGTAGGTAAAGCGGCATTCCAACTTACGTTGCATCTCACCTGTAGCGTGCGGACGATCCTCCCCATGGCGGAGTTCCGGTATTTTTCCTCCGCCGCCGCTTTCTGCTCGATGCGGAGGATCTCGGAACAGGCGTCGTCTTCAGTCCGGACGGAGGGCTGAGGGCTGAGACCGCCATTCTCTATCACCTCCAGTTCTTCCTCAAACGACCTCTTCCCTGTGAGCTTATCCTGGGAGCGGCTCGTGGACGCCATCTTGACGTGGCCTTCAGGCTACGATTGGTCATCTGAAAAAGGGAGGTAACTGTTAGAAATAAATAATGCATATTGCATTAAAAAGTCCAAATATATTTCATGGTTATATACAACAGCTTATATTAAAGTTCGTGTCTGCATCTGGAAAAAAATGATATGATATATAAGACCAATATGTTCATATATTATGCAGTGACTTTTAAACCATTTTAACAGTTTTTATGAAATAAAATGAAAAGTGTTTTTTGTTTTCCTGCCATTATTGACTTTTTGTCATGTTTTTTTGGCATATCTTAACCACTTTTTTTAATCCACAAAGCAAACAATATTTTTTTAAGTTAGGGTAAATACATATATATCGACAAATATGGGATGACCCTGATCCACTGTGAGTCCTTGGTTGTTTTAGTGTGCCCCAGCATCAGCATCTACTTATACTTAAGAAGGGATGGGTGTCCCATGTATCAGTGATTACAACCACCGCAAGCGTGTTGCTTTAAGACATAGGTAAAATCTTATAATTAAATTCCACTGTATTTGATCGGCTGACCAAACAATTGTTTTTGCGTTTATGTTTAACCGATAATTAGACCACGCCCACTAACGGACTACAGTTTCCTGATTAGCTAATAGAACAGGCGGGGATGATGTTGTATCATAGCGCTGAACGATGTCGCTGTCGTATGGTTGTCTAAAGTTCTGTTACTGATTAAAAAAGCAGACTGTGAAGTGAAGACTTCGTGTTAATCCGCTACACAGTGTGCACATCAGTTTTTTTTATGTTCATGCCTCAATAAAAGAAAACAATGTTGTGGTCAATTTTTAAATATAAGATCAACAATTTAATAATTTAGAAACTGTTTAAACTTTTAAAAAACCAACTGCCCACAAATGTAATAATATTTAAGATAATGAGTCTGCTTACGTAAGATTGAAAACATGATTTGGAAATTGTCTCACATCCCTAAAATCTATGTATTGTGATTTGCTCTTCTATTTGAGATTTCAGCTCCGTACCGCCCACCAACATTTTTTGACAGACCCTCGCTGTGGTTTTGCACTTTAACACGCCACCCACATTCGTCGTTTGACATTTACCTTGGAGGTCAACTATTGTTTTAAATCCCTTGTCTTAACTCGCATCAATAGAATCCAGATCGGAAATGTATACCCAACTGAAATGCCATGATTAAATTCTCATTGAAAACTTGTGTGATATGTAATTTCCTTTTTGTTTAAGTTGTATTGGACCGCCTCAATCGCCCAGTGGTAGAGCGTCACCCCGAGGAGCGGACGGTCCTGAGTTCGATCCTCGGCAGCGTCATACCAACAGACGTTAAAAGATGGTACTTGTTGTTACCCTGACTGGTGCTTGGCATTGAGGGGCTGAAACTAGGACAGGCCGGCTTAGGGGTAGTATACTCGTACTCTGTCTGAATGGTGTATTCATGTTAAACAACGGCATGGTATCTCAGTGTGCTAGCATAATATAATCGGCATTACTCCGAACTAGTAATAATTCAGAGTATCCGAATACACCGTAGTATACACCCATGTTTGAAACACTGAAACACAACAAGAAATGTTTATTCGATGGTGATGTATTTGATACGAGTATCATAGTTGTGTTTTGGACGTTAAGTTTGCAGTGTTCCGGTGACTGTTTTCAGCCTAGTAATGTCTTGATAACGTTTGTAATTGTTGGGTCAAATCCATTTTTAAGTGTATACCTCTATTGCCCGGCAGTTCAGAACGAAAAGATGTTACAGTAAACTACGTTTATAACGAACACGCTTAAACCGAACTGACGGATATAACGAACTGATATTTCTCTCTGTCATTCACTTTGTATATACTGTATATATGCCTTTAACAAACAATGGTTATGATGAACTAAAATTAGTGGTCCCATTGAGTTCGTTATAACCGTAGTCTACTGTATATTCATACAGAAGTGTTCCTCTTTAGCTGAACTTCAGTTTCAAGCTTTGCATGAGTGAGTATGTTGGATTTAATACCGCTTTGAGGAATGTGAAGCTTTGAGACTGTAGAATGGGCACCAGACATATATAATACGGAACGCACTGAACTAAGGATGACCATGAATGATACAAAATGGGAATATAACCCATACCCATTGGGTTCATTGAGCCAATCCACTGTTTATACCATTCAATGCACACGTTATAATATTTATATACTACTCAAAAGAAGTTAAAGAACACCGAATTTTCCATATGACTATGGTGAATCTGTCATGGCTTGTGGGTATTGAATCACAACCTTCCAACTGTCGGTGTTGTTTAACTCATTTTGAGTAGGATAGATTTACGCAGACCCATCGAATGATTAAAGGAGGAAGATGGGTAACAAATGCTATGACAAGAGTAAGTCTACATTTTAATAAAAAAAAATGCTGTTTTCTAATCGTATAATCTAATCGTGATATGAGTCATGACAGCATTGGGCACAGCAAAGTCATAGAAACCTGAACTCTCAAACCATCGACAATCGTAGCGTCAACGTCACTTTATGGATCGAGATTTGCACTAAGATGCGTGCTCCAACCAGACCACCTTGACCTAGACCACCACTTTATTTAATCCTCAAAGCAAACAAACATTTTTTTAAGTTGGAATATCTCGACAAATATGGATGGCAGTGCTGGAGACAAATCCGCCTGGTAAATGTACACAATGCCATCGACGAATGAGACTGAAACGCCAACGAAAAACAGCTGTTCGTATTTAATTGTAGCCCAGTGCACGCGCTCTAAGGCGCCTGATTTTTATGGCCAGAATTCCATCCCTTAGCCATGCAAGGATCTGCTAATAGCAGGTTCGAATCCCATATTCGCATAAAGGATGATTCTTGGTTTGTGGGCTGTGTTGGTTCAATCAAAATGAAACACGCCCGTGGTCTGTGTCAAGTGGGGCCTTCCAGACACGTTGCCCTCGTGGAGGTTCCGGTACAGAGTTGGTCACCTGTGTATCATGTTTGTCGTAGTGGGGCCTTCCCGACACGTTGCCCTCGTGGAGATTCCGGCACAGAGTTGGTCACCTGTGTATCATGTTTGTCGTAGTGGGGCCTTCCAGACACGTTGCCCTCGTGGAGGTTCCGGCACAGAGTTGGTCACCTGTGTATCATGTTTGTCGTAGTGGGGCCTTCCCGACACGTTGCCCTCGTGGAGATTCCGGCACAGAGTTGGTCACCTGTGTATCATGTTTGTCGTAGTGGGGCCTTCCAGACACGTTGCCCTCGTGGAGGTTCCGGTACAGAGTTGGTCACCTGTGTATCATGTTTGTCGTAGTCGGGACTAATTGGAGTTCGGGGGAGGGGGTGCCATCCATCGTACCCTATCGGCGATGATCGGGTCGCTGCTCATACTATCAATCACTGGTTTCATTCTTCCGTGATATAGATGACACATTTGTTACTTCGTAAACCGACATTTACATTATTTTGTACTAACCTTGTACATGGTGCATGGTGAGATTGACATGTTGGAAATGAACTTGACATTGACATACGTGAAGTAGAAACGATATTGGACTGAGTGTTAGATTTACTTCATTGAGAAATATCACAGTGGTACGTAGAGATCAAATATGTATAGGTTTCACTGAGCTTTGGTTTCAAGAATACTTAAAACCATTTGTTGCTTCAAGAATGAGAGCATAAGTTATGTCGCATAGTCTCGCATTGTTTCACGCGATGTTCTCGTCCTGTTTGCAAGAGATTACAATGCGGACAGTCCGTCCGGGAGGCGAACTAGAATACGATATTAACAACACTTTATGATACTGGAAGATTAATATGGGTAAAATCAAGATTTTGATATATCCCGGCGTGTCAACTTAATGTGGGTGGAAGGCCTGCATGTCTCAGACCTTTACGACTTTGTTTAGACTAGTACCTGCTTTCGAACTATAGACAGGAATAAGACAAGTGCCTGCTTATATATGATTTTTCATGCTCTGTGAAAATTTGTACATGCACAGTGATTTTCCTTTTACTGAATAAATAAATATATTGGTGTCTGTAAGGTATAAGGTATAAGGTATAAGAACTGGAGAGAGAAAACCTGCAACACTGAATGATAGAGTTGGATTTAACACCCTTTTGAAGGATATGTCAGTTATAAAACGACGTTTCAGCTCAATGTTGGAGGGGGCTCTATGTGATGCAGATCGTAGACGTTTACACTTTGGCGGAACCAGTGAGAACGGATATGATGCTGACAAACCAAAGATGATTATGTGGGAATCAAATCCACTTACCATTGGCATCTGAGTTGCGGAGCTTGAAACCATTTGGCAAGCCGCATGCCCGAAACATTGAAATCGTCGCCATGGATACAACGATATACTCAATGTTATCATCATTTAAAAAACCAAAAATACAGAATCATATACATGATGAGTATGTTTTACTGAACACAGGTAAAGCTTCTTAGATCGTATGTTGATTGACCTTTAAACGGATCCCAGTATCACTTATAACTCAATGACAGTGATTCATGAATTAAAAGCGATTAAAAAATATTTCCATAATCGCATTAAATCTGCTTAAAACATGTGTTTTGAATTGTACCATATGTTCCCGTAATTCCAGTTGTTGTTAGATCGTTGAGCTACCAATGACAAGGACGAGTTATGTTCCTTCTAGATGTCCCTCATACTGACCAAGCAGATTCCACTATCATATTACTTGCACTTGTTTCAAACAAAATAGCGGTGCCCAGTCAAGACGATCTGATCCATAATCAACATTTATATAATATTGTAATAAAACGGGTCTTACCTCGCGAAGTGCAAATTAATTGAATATCGTGATTAAAAAACACCGACTTAACCCCATCTTGTCCAAATACCCACTTAACCCATCTTCTTCAAACACCAGTGAACAATTGACTTGCCTTTGCATGTGTTTGTGACGGGTATTACCTGTGGGACGGGCTACGGTCCCCTTTTCGCAAACGCCTGGCATCATCACTATTAGAAGGTGATTCATAAACATGTGATCTTGATAA